CATATCTCTGAGAACTATAAGTGGGACAACTGGTAGTACTACACTATCTGAAGATCTCCTGAATGACTCCTGTATTGGCAAGCTGAAAGCTTGATTTCTGTTACTCCTCGGAACCACAAATCTTTTTTCCCTTCTGCTTTTCCCATAGTTCACAACAGTCATCCCTGCTACAGCTTTACACTGTTGCTAAAATTGCATGTAAAGTAGACTGACACATTTCAGTTGTAAAAAAAAAAATAAAATTAATAGGTGATGTAAACTGGAGATTATTGGACAATTTAGTTAAGTGTTTCTCCAGTAAAAAGTACAGTGGAGGGTCCAAAATTGGAAGATGTTATTTTAAAGCTTCTATCAGCCATTGTGATAGTTGATGGCTGAAATTGTCCTTCATTTTTATGTCTTAAGTCTTCCCATCCATTTTTCTTTAGAGCAGTACTGGGACTTTGTTAGTGACAGCTAGAATTCCAGCAAGTCAGTCTTTGGTATGCAGAATAGAGTGGGAGTGGAACGCATTTATGCTATAACAGAATAACAACATTTTCCTCAGAGAAATTGCATGGGCTTGTTGAGACTTTCTTTAACACATTTCTGTCAGAAGCTATGGAAAGGCATTGTATTTGTGCTTCAATATGCTAAATAAGAGGTATTTTAGACTTAAGAATGTTATGTTTCACTTGATTAGCCTAATAGTTGCAACCTACAGTTATATGGTGCATTAGCTTTCAGTGCCATATAATAGGACTGGCAGCATGGAGTCCCAAAAACTGTAGTTGCGTGGGCTGCTGAACAGTTGTAGAGAAAGATGCACAAAAATTCTATTCTAGACAGAATTTTTTCATTTTGAAATGAATTTCACAACAAATTCACAGTTGGATGCCACTGCTTGTATTTCGAGTGAATTATACTCCAGAAGAGTAATACTGTGCTTCAACAAAGCCTGCCACAAACAGTGCGGTGATATAAATCAGAAATTGGATATTTTTTAATTGTAATTTTTCAAAATATAGTACAGTTATTAACTATGCCTGCAGGTCCTGACACTCAGATATGTTTGGCTTTGTCTCCACATCCAAAAATTAAAATCCTTCACAAATAAGACAAAAAGAAGGGCTGGGGTGAAATACCCTTTTTACTTATGTTCTATTCATGGTAGAAAACTGACTCCCTACAACAATGGTTGTCACAAAACCACATATTTCATAGCACAGTTAGAACAAACCTGTTACACAGTGACCTACGATTTCCAGTCTAAATTTACTGATGGTCAGTTCATTTATATCTTCCACTCTTGTGCTGTATTGTTCTTCGGCTTAGACAGTGCTCCATTCTTTCCCTGTCTGGTTCCATTAACTGGCATTTTTGGAGTGCACTTGCATCTTCTTTCCATCTTTGGTTTGTTTTGCTTACCAAGACAAGGTCTTTCAGGTTAGTACATGCTGCAACTAAGGCAGCTACAGTTTCATACACATGGACTGTCTCTAAGCTGCTTAGCTTTGCACAATTTGTGCTGAATTATCTGCTCTTAAATCGCAAAACCTGTTTAAGAAACTGAGGAAATATGCATGCTGGTGATGAGCCCCTTGATGGTACGGTCGTGGTGTGACTGAATCTGCTATGAAAGGTCAGGAACACCTAATTAGTACTACTGGGATTGCAAGAAATAATCTCCTTTAAGCTCTCAGTTCACCCATTTGTCCTTGTGTGCAGTGCAAGGATGGAAGATAAAATATGTCTGCTTATGCCCTTTCACTGAGGTTTAAGTTAATAATGTTATCATACAGCTGGGATAGGCTAGCAATATGCAATACTAACCTGCTCTCACTTTGTTTTCACCATAGGTTCTATCTCAATTCCATTTAGTCTGAGCTCATTCATTCTGAGCTCTTCAGTTAGAAAACATAAGTAACCATTTCATCTTAGCTGTGCACCAGGCAATGGTGTTCAACCACTGGAGCCAATGTTGCTGACATTAGTATTTCATGCTTTCAGAAGCTGACGGGCCTTGGTTACGGCAACTTAGTGACTAACTCTTTAAGAAGTATGTTGTGGAAGGTTTCCCCAGACATAGTTGACAGGCAACTTTTAACACAGGCAAACATTGTTTAATTTAGGTTCTCACAGCAGCAGACAGAATTAGCAGCTCCTTTCCTGAGCCAAGTTGCATGAATGCATGAGAAGAGGCACACTACCTTGGGATTTTAGGTGGGATGGGTGGGAAATGAGCATTCTTCCTCAGAACCACATCACCCTCTTACACAACCCACCCACTTCGGTCTTTTTCCATTCCAGCTTTTCACTCACCTCCTCGATAACACTTCTTCCCAGCTCAGTCTGCCGGCTGCCTCTCTGCAGGAGACACGCGTGCCCTCTCTGACATAGCAGGCCGCTCTCTGTGTTTCTCTTATGGCTCCCCAGCATAGCAGGGTTTGAAGTGAGATGCCTTATTGGGAAACAGTCAGTTGGGACAAAGAGATGCTGCTTAGTTCACAAATGAAATTGTGATGACTAAGGAACATGCCATGGCAGTGCTCAGGGATTCGTACAGAAGGGACACCATCAGAATCTTAATCTTGTGTGGCATTTGTGCAAAAGTAAAATCACTGTTTCCACATGAAAGGTCCTACTGTCACAACATGAGGCTGGTAGGCAGCCAAAATCTGAATACCGCATAGGTTTGCAGACCAAAAGCAACACTTTGCACACTGAGGTTAACTGAAAACCAGCTCCCGAATTCACCCTCTACCTCTTGATGTGATTTGCATACCACCGTTTGGTGTCTGGTCAAGTTGTATTGCTTCTGGAATGTGATACAAATTTTGCCCTCTGTGACATGAAGCCTGCAGAGGATTTAAACTGGGGCAGAGTGAAGTAAAGTAAGGGTAACAGTAGAAGAGGAAAAAAGGAGTGTTGCATTTCCACATATACTTGTGATCTTTTGGTGTGATTCAAGTATTGGTGTGTAACATTCTTGCTTTGTTTTGCAAGGTTACAGGGCAGAGAAAAAAGTCCGTTTCATAAAAATTCTGGTATTGCTTTATTCCTCCCTCACTTTCTTGCAGTCAAAAGATAAAGAGAAACTAAGTTTTCAACCTGGTATACTTGTTGCTGGGTTAATTTAAATGGAAAAAAAAATGATTGAGATTTTTCAAGGAAAAGAATAAAGATAGCAAGAAAAGGCACTAGAGATGTTTTGGAACGGATGGGGAAAGACCTGAATTTTTCGTTACCTTTTTCATTTATTGGCACCTCTTCCAGAGTGAAAGTAGAACATTTATTCTAAAAAGGTCTTAATTCTTTTGTGTGTTCGGAGACCAAACTGCTTTTAGTGAGAGCAGTAAAGTTGTCTTTGACGTTTGCCTCTTCACTATGAGCTTTTGAAACAGACACTGCCTTGATACGCAGGCCTGGGTGCAGAGCTCAGCTACGCCCTGACTGCACGTTGAAACAAGAGCCGCTGTTCAACATTTCTCCCTGCACTTTCCCCCAAGCACCGTTGCTTCCAGATCCATAATGCCCTCCAGGAAGTACCATCCAACCTAGCTCCCAGGCTGCATCACATTGCATGTCAGAGATGCAAGTAATGAAAGTGTTTGTACCTCATGCAAGAGAGTCCTGTTGTCCTTGTGTCCTACTCTTATAAAATGTTTGTCCGTAATTGTCTAAGTAAGAAAGAAAAAGCGTCACCTTTTTAGATCTTGAGGCAAGTTGTAGGACCAATGGTTAAAAAAATGAGCATGACTGAGGTGGCAGTTGTGAGACAATACTCTGTTCTCCCACAGAATAACTCATTTTGACAATCTCTGGTAACTCCTTTTAAGCTGTTTTTCATAGCAGGATTAAGTTGCTGCATCGGTGTTATCTGAGGAAAGGTGGAGCAAGTAAGATGAACTGATTAAAGGTTCACTTTGTAATTTTTATAGCAGCGAACTTAATCACAGTGTGATCTCTGAGCTGTGTGGTCTCAACAGTCTATGTCCATGATTCTGATATTTTACTGCCAATTGAATATATTGAAGGGAGTGATGGAGTCATTGCACTTTCTCTTAGAGTAATCCAAATCAGAAGTTGAGGTCATGTGGATCACTGTCCCTTTCTCATTGCTTTGTTTGCACTTCCAGCATTTATACGTACTTTAATGAGTTTAATACTTTCTAATTTTCCTTCACCTACAAAGTGAAGTTGCCAGAAAAACAAATGAGGCAGCTTCAGACTTTTTCCTACTCTAGAACTTAGACAACTGGAGTACAGGTCTGGAAGGTTACTCCAGAATTACAGCAGCATAGAGCGATTAAGAGCCTGTCCTAACTAAAGCACACCCTGCTAGATGTTGTTCTGTTTGGAATTTACTTTTCAGTATAAATTGACAAGCATTTCGTATGCTTGGCAAATAAAATGCTTATTTGACTTCTCCACACTCCCCAAAGGGAAATTTCTACTAAGGCATGACATATCCTATAAACTGCCATGAGTAATATCTTCTGAACCACTTTCAGAGAAACAAGAGTCTTTGCCATTTCTGTCTATAATCATAATTTACAGATAGAGAAGGTGATAAAGTAGTGAGATCTTACTGAAGACTGTTATACAAACAAAATCTCTTGTCTTTTCTGTTCTTTAGAATTTACTAATCTGTCACATGGTATGTGTATTCTAGCAACACATAAAACAAATAAAAACAAAAAAACCCATATTTTTTAATAATGCTAGGTTTTTATTAAATTGCAATTTCAGTGAACTTCAGTTGCCAGAGAAGAATACTGAAACAGGAACCTACTGGGTTTTTTAACCTTTTGCTGTAAGGAAATGTACCTTTCTCCATTTGATTTGAAAAAGGAAATAGACTGGTGGTGTGGCTATGGAACTTTCTCTTTCTGCCTCTGATTGCAAAAGTGGTAGTAAAAAAATGAAAATAAAAAGTACAGTATTGAACAGTAGAATGTTATGGTGTTGTTGAGACAACAGAATGAAAGTAATCAATTCTTTTGTTTGTTTTGTTTCAGGTGTCAGAAACTATTTGAAAGAAGCATTAGTGAATATCATTGCTGTGCATGCAGAGGTGAGGAAAAACTTCAGATTGTTTCATGCTTACATTAATTTGATTTCAGCATACTTTTCATGGTAAATGCTGACTTTTGCCAGGGTTTTTCACCCTTCTATTGGAGTGTCTTCATTATAGGTATAAGTGTTTTGGATTAGGTTTAGCTAAACAATGCAACTGCTAACTTTTTTACAAGCAGGAGATGAGCAGTTCCTGTTTATCCTCACTAACACTCCATTACACCTTTTTTTTCCATTACCTGATAAAGAGGAAAGCCAAATTCTAGAGCTAATTCTTCCCTTTTCATGCAGATAATATATAGATATATAGATAGTTATGATGCTCACTTTCTCTGATTAACTTTATTTTCCACAACATATGTGAATGAACTTACATTTCACCTTGAAAGAAACGTTCAGCACATGCCAGAGTAAAAAACCAATATATGTCAGTCTTGTACATATGATGAAAATAAGAAACCTAAAACCAGAAAGTTTTATAGTGTCTGTACAGCTCAAATAGTGTTTGAAATACTTAGGTAGGTAATGGCTTAGGATAGGGAGTGCATATTAAAATATTATTTTTAACATAATAAGTTTGGAGGAGCTGCAGTTATTTAGCCTTTTGTGATAATATGCAGGTATTTTCTATGGTCCTTTAAATTAGAGCCTGTGTTTTACATACTCCTTCCTTCTAATCATCAAGAGTGTTACCAGATTACTGTTGCTCCTGGTAAAAGCACTGGTAGTAATATCACTCTTGCCTTTTAAAAGGTATAGCTGCTCTACCTTTTCTGTGTGATTAAAATCTGATGAGATTCACTTGAGGCTTTTGCTTATTTTATTTCTTCCTAAATTACAAGGATTTAAATAAATTAAAATATTTTCAGAAACTTCAGATATGACACAGTATTTTTGATACAATTTCATTGTTAAATATAGCAGAAGCACTTTCACAGAAGTATCTCTGCTTTTACAAAATGCTTCCAAATGAAGGAATAAGCAACACCAAAAACATATTTCAACATGACACTCATTTTTGATGTTGTTTTTCAATGTAGTGGAAATTAATTAAAATGAAAATTAGAGGTTTTGTTTAAAAAAATTCAAAGGCATTAGTGATTTACTGAGCTAATCTTGTAAATATGCATACTTGTTAAAATGCTGCAGCAGAAAACTGCACTGCCTTGCTCTCTTCATTGAGACTGATAGTGATTCTGGCCCAAATAGAATTGCTTCATAGATTTCTAGATGTGAAATATTACAGAAATACGAAAACATGTGTCAAGATGAAACTCCCATTTCCACTGGTGAAAATCTGTAAGCTGGGTCAGGTTTAAGTTTAGTTAGCAAGGCTACAAGTTTCTGTAGTTTGAAACAGCAAAAATTAACCATCAGATGAACAGTGCGGATGGACTGAAGCGGAAAGAAAATTGTTTCTCTGCTTTTGAATTTAAATTTAGCTGAAATCAAAATAAGGGCTCCTTAGTGCAAATTTGTGATGATTCACCCATGCTGAGAATTATTTTTCCTGGATTCTGTAAAGTAACTTCAAGAGTGCTTGTTGCGGACGTAAATATTATCTTCTCAGTAGATCTTTGGGCACATTCCTGGTAAGTTTGTGTTGAATTGCTCAGCAATATTTGGTGCTGAATAAGATAACCCCCTTCCAGATCATTACTGGTTGGTTTTTTCCTTACTATACAGCTAAGTATGTCGCTTATGTAACTGTTTTGATCCAAAAAAGTGAAAACAGCCTGTGTGTTGGAATTAGCACTGGTAACAGCTGATAGGTGACATATATTTGGTCTTTGTACTTGGCCTATGGTACAGACCTGCCTTTTGGAACAGTCAGCCTTAGATACATTATCTAATCCCTAAAAACTGCGTAGGAATCTTGGTTTCTTTTTTTTTTTTACCCCATTAATTTATTTTTACACACCTGTATTAATATCTTCTGTCAATTACATTTCCTTGTCAGACATGAGATCTAAACTTCGCGTAAAGCAAAGGTATTTTAGTAACAAAATCATTCCACTGCTTAATTCTTTTGACCACTTTAAAGCAAAAATCAGGAAAGTGTTTCAAAAATTCATGCAGTTCATTTTCCTTCTTGCACTCATCTTCAGCTCCTTGTGTCATTTCCTCTCCCAGCCCTGTGAAGTTTTAGTGCAGTTTTATCATCACCTTTTAGTTTTGATGGAAGTTTGGTGTGTCTAATTTATAATCTCACTTCCTCCTATATTCCAGCCTCTTGGCCAGCATTTTCCCCAATTCTGTGCAGAAAAATCATACCGTTTTTTTTTCATTCACCAACAATTTCTCGCTTCCTTAAAGTTCCCTTAAAGAAAGAATGGTTTCTTCATGCTTTCCATCAGACGTAGATTTAATATTTACTTCTGCGTTGCAGTTGCTATTCTGAACCTTAAGTGGAGGCTCCAAGTACCACTTAAAAAAGTTGTATAATAAGCAGTTAAAAAGATGGTCTTGATCCGTGGGAAAACCAGTAAGGTATAACATTTTTGTCAGGGATCCAATAAATGGTGGCAGTGGCAGAATCTAGATGAAAATCCATTGACACCATCATACTCTTAAAACCTTTAAAATGCTTTTGTCTTCTGCAGAGCATGAAGATATTTGAGAGACATTGTCAAAAATAAAGGAGTCTAGAAGAAAGAGCAAAATATATGGGTAAAAGTGGCTGAATGTGTAATTATGTCAACCAGTCACACAACCCTGAATTAAAGGTGCTATTTACAAGACAACAGTCTATGTACAACCACCCTGACTACCTGCATCCATCAACCAAAAGCACATATTTTGAAGTCTAGCCGCTTTTTGGCATTGCAAGAAGGTGGTTGTCATCACATATCACAGAGCTAACTTTGCTATTAAGAGAAGGTATTAGTCAAAGTGCAGGGCAAGAATCAGACGACATCCTTCATATTCTAGTTGCTTTTGAATTTTTTTTGTCCGTTGATAAAAATGGAGGTGTCCTTTCAGTCAAAGTGTTTAATGTTCATTATTGAAATGTTACTATAGAAAGTATTTCTGTTAATGTAGCTATTGTGCTTACAATTCTTCTTTCTTAATAATTAGGTGTTTACCATTTCCAAAGACTTAGTTCCTCGAGTAATGTCAAGGGTTGTAGAAGCAGTCTCTGAGGAACTGAGCCGACTGATGCAGTGTGTTTCATCCTTCAGCAAAAATGGAGCTTTACAGGTACCTGAATACTTTGTGCTGTCAAACATCTGAATCTAGAAAACTGAGAATAACAGACAGAGGTATAATCTGTGTATTTGTTTGGTTTATTGTAGCAGTGAAAGCAAGGAGATAAAAAGGATTAGTATACAACCTCTTTCAGATTTATGGATAAATACCCTTTGGGATACTGGTTCTTGTGTTTGATTTTATTTCAGTGTTGTCTTTGTGTCAGACAGCACAAAAGGCTTACCTGTATCCTATGAGATAAAAAGCATCATAATGATATCTGTTTGAAATGTCATTAAATACTGTCTTTGGCCTGACATAAAAAAATCACTTTAAAAGAAAAAATAATTTTGTGATATTTTGAGGTTTAAAAATCTTGAAAATATGTAGTAGGATTTTGTGAGTCTTTGCAGAACTAGTCACTTGTCTGTTACACTATTTCTATATTAGTAGTAGCATGGGTAGAACTGATTCTCTTACTCGGCTTTCTTCATTTACAGCTGGATTGGTAGATGTACTTGCTATTGGATAGGTTTTAAAGAACCCTAAGAAAAAAAACTCTTTTAGAAAAGTCTCTGAGTCAATGATTGCTATGACTGTAACAGAAGAAGAGCAAACTCCCTGTTTTCATTGCACATGGCAGCATTCTTGCATTATGATAGGAAAATAATTATTCAGTTGCAGGCCTCATTTTCCAATTGCTGGTAGTAATGGCACTGGACAGAGAATTAATGTAGTAAGATCACAGCCAAATAAGATTGACTCCCTATTTAAAACCAAATCAGTGAATAGCAACAAAGATACCCATATATCCCTTCTGTTTGACTAAACAACCCACTGTATGGACTTGTTGCCTAAACCCGTAATTGAAAGGATTTTCTCTCCTTACTGTAAATTGGTCACTCATGGTCATTTTCTCTTCCTCTAAACATAGAAAATCCTATCTGGCAGGCAGCAGCAGTGTGAGAGTGATCTGAGCCTCATCAGGCTGATGAAAAAATACTTATTCAGGTCTCACTCTGTACTCCCACATCCCATGGCCAACAGTTTTGCAGGGTTCGCCTTTCCACCAGGTTTATTTAGGCTGTGGTACTTGAGAATGTGGCACTTCCCTGTGGTACTGCTATCTCCTAAAATGTAGAAAAGACTCCAGAATCTTATGTGTAGGAAAGCCCAAAAATCTTGAGCTTGGAGCAGTATACAAAAAGAGGTGAAATATTCTGTGGTGAGAAAAGCACTTCTTATGAGTATAAAATTGGTGGGTGGCTATGTTGTATTTTGTTCTGGCTCTAAAAAAGCATATATCTTAGCTGGCTTCCTACTTAGGGGAGAGATGAGGGAAATACCTAAAAGCCAAAGCCTTTCATTAGAACTGGAATTAGATGTTTGTGTTGCGTTTTTGAAAGTTTTGTTTTGGCAGATTAATGTCATATTAGTTGTGTCTAAGTGCAGATCAGTTACTGTAATGTCTAACTGGATTGAACTTTATGATGAACAAGAACAGAATGTGAATTTTGATGAAGTTCACTTTATATTTTTAATGAAATTGCTTAATGATCATTTGCAGAATGTTTCTACTTCATTTAAAAGTTGTGATGATAATGATTACTTTTCAAAGACTAAAGGATATATGAAATTTGTTTAATATTGGAGTTTGTTCTCCACCATCAATACCTAGACACAGTAACAGTGCAGGGGTAAAATCCTCAAGCTTTTGTGCACACCAGGTGACAGACGAGAAACAGAGTACAATCATTCTACTTCCTCATCTGGTGGAAAAAAATAAATTCAACAGAAGAACCAAGAATAAAATGTGTATTGACAGGGTTTTGTACTCTTGTGTTTCCTTCCTCCCTGGCCAAGCAGTGAGAAGTTAAGGTCACAGTATTTAATTACCACCAAAAAAAAAAATTAAGGTTGCATCCTTCTATCTTTCTATCACAGTACAGAAAAGATGGAACGGAACTGAAGATTTATTACTGTTACTGGGAGACAAATCAGTGTTTTAGACTGCTACGTAGTGACCGTGCAAACAGTTTGACTTGAATCTAAAGTATGACATTGTTTCTTTATAGCAGTCTCCTGACATAGCAGTGTGGCAACGAAAAATACAGGAAATAAACTGTTAAAAGCCAAGGCTGCTTGCAACTCCAGCGTGCAATAGTATTTGCCTCTCAAAAATGTGGGATACTGGTATACACTTGATGAAAGGACATTATGTCATCTTTTGAATATTTGTATTTCTCTCTTTAGGCGAAACTTGAAATCTGTGCATTGAGAGATACCGTGGCCATATACCTAACACCTGAAAGCAAGTAAGATGTGCTGTAATGTCTTTTTTCCAACATAATTGAATCCTTGGTAAACATGCAAAAACACATAAATTAAGAATTTTGCTTCAAATAGAATATGTGATCTAGGCAAATATATGAAAAACAGATGACTAGCAAGGTTTTATCAGTTCAAAGAAAATATTAGATTTTTGTTGTTTTTTACTTGAATTTTTAGACAGTATTTACCACTCAAAAAAGAAAAAGTAAAACTTCTTAACAGCAATACAGCTACTGAAGATAATTATGCTAAAGCAAGACAGAAGAAGATGTCACTGAGTTTTATCCATTTTTTCACAGCAATCTCATAAACCATACAACAAATAACCTGCTAGATACATCAGAGAGGTTACAGAACCAGACACTGGCAGATACCCCATATAGGGATATGGAGAATTAGGGCTCTCCATGGGCTTATATAATACCCTACTCCTTCTCCACACACCTAATCGGGGAAAGGAAATTCAACTTCAAACTGTCTCTTAGAATTAAAGCCTTCAAAAGGCTTTCAACCTATTTATCATATCTCATTGAGGTGCAAGACCAAAGATGAATAGTGTGGGACATTAATATAAAGGGAGAATGAAAAACATGAGCAGCATCAGTGACTGATACAGTCAAGGCATGTAAAAACAGGCTAAGATAGCTGTCAGAAGTTTTGATTGATCGAAATTTCTGGGTGATTATGTTGGGAATTGGATATGGACAGATCCACTCATTATTTTATTTACCTACACTTCTCTTAGGATTAGCATCATATGTCTCTGCAGATGGAAATTTGGTCATCTTCCCTAATCAACAGTTTGTAGGAGACATTGCAGGGCTTGAGGGCCTAAGGTGTCTTCCTAGTGTCACAGATGGTGTCCTATGGTGTCACTGCATTCCATTTCAAAATACTTCCCTATCCTGAGTGTCTGGTAGTGGTGAAGGCCTCTGGAAGAAAACTGCTTGGCACTGACTCAGATTGGACAAAAGGAAAATTATGTTGTCTCTAATCATCATGGGGCAAAGCACAGTGAACCATGAAAACTGGAGCTTCATTGAGACCTTTATATTCCTGGACTTGTCACTAGTAGTAGTTGCCACAAGTCACCATACTAATCTTTGCTGACAAGATTGTACCTGTGTGCAGGTCCTGCATCATTCCCTGCGCTCCTATTCCACATCTGTTTCCCAGAGGGAGGTGGGAACCCCATATTTGGAGTTACTCAAAATTTGACTGGAAAATGCCCCACAGAAACCTACTCCAACCTTGAAATTGGCCCTACTTTAAGAGCAGAGTTGGACCTGAAGATGTCCAGATGTTCCTTCCTTCCAACCTAAATTATTCTATAATCTACATTACTTCAATGCAAACCTACTGTAATTCTCTTTGTGGGCACCCTTCTGTAAGGGAGAATGCCATGACCTCTCTACTGAGCACAGAAAGCCAAAATCAATGTTTTATCTGTTCTTCATGCACTTGATGGCCACTTAGTTTGAGGCAGAGGGCAGGCTGGCAACTATCTGTTAATTCTTTAAGAGCCCAGGATGTGAAGCACAGTCTTAAACCAGCTACTGGTTTAACATTTCCTGTTGATGTATGGTGTACATCACATTAGGAATGTAAAGAGACCTGCTTGAATGCATGCTACTTTATGTTCAGTTTGCACATGCATATTAGGTCTCAGGTAAATATTTTGTCAATTTATTGAAAAAAAAAGGAGGGATGAAACACAGCATCTCTTCATAGCATTTATAGGGAGAAACTGTGAATGCTGAAACTCGTACCGGTGGAATCTGAGTATTTTTGTTTTCCTTGTAGATCAAGCTTTAAGCAAGCTTTGGAAGCCTTACCTCAGCTCTCAAGTGGGACTGACAGAAAGTGAGTACAATCACACCTTCTTGTCTCCTTTTCAGTCTCTGGAGCCATTGCTCTTTACTCTTATAAGACAACTTTGTTATAAGAGGGTTAACTTTCACTGTATTTGACCCTTCTGAATTACAGAGCAGAAACCTCTTTGGACAGAGTTAAGAATAAGCTAAGTCCTTGTTTATGGCCTATTAAATTACACAGAAGAGCCAATGGCTTTGTGACATATCCTGCTTGCCCATCCTAGTCTTATCAGTTCAATGTAGCTTTGTATTTGTCTTGTAATTTCAGTCTATTTTAACCTTTCTTGTTAATCTCATAGTTTCTGTGAGGTCCATTGTATTGTCTTACTGAATTTAGCAGCAATAAAAAAAATGGCCAAGAACAAAGTCCAGGCCTTTGCCAGCTGATACATGGGGAACTCTCAAAACTGGCCTGTTTCATTTTAAAAACAAATAAGGGCCTCTGATTCTTTCTTAACATCAGGAGGAGGAATTTTGGGTTCTTCCTTCTCCACCATGACCATCTCTGACAACCAAGCTGCTTTGCTGCATCCAACCTAGCATTTGGTAGTCTGTTTTACAAGCATAGCTGAAAAAATAGTATGGTAAAACTAGGACATATTTGTAATGAGTATAGTAGTGTAAGTATAGATGGTTTGAATTTGAGGTTGGTTTTGTTGTACCTTCCTGCACCAAATCAGTTTTCACTTAACAGTCAGAATTTAGAATATTTTGTAGAAATATAAAGAGATGGTTTGTGCAGCCCGTGGGCTGTGGGCTGTGCCTTCTTCCAGATGTCCTCTGTCTGTTTATTCAAACCTACTCTTTGCTAGCCACAACAAGTCTCAAGATATCTCTCTTTCTTACTTAGCTCTTGTGCTTTGTTGAAGTTAGAAATCAGTTTTGAGTAGGGAGAGTTCTTTCAACCCAGACTTTCCAAAACACCTGTAGAATTATTTTTCTCACTTAGTCACAAGCATCTGAGCTTCATGAGACAAATGCGAATCAAGAACTGCACCGTTTTTACATCTGCCTCAGAGTTCTGAGCCCTAGACAGTGCAAAACTTGTTCTGTTTCCCAGGTCATTACATGACAATTGTCATTGTTCTAGGCAGCTCATTGTAATCTACATGTATTTGTGTAAAATAACACATTTGTGCACTGATTGAGAGCTGTTTGTGTCTGTTCACTCGCAGTCGTTATTATGATGCTAAATGATGAATGTGGACATTGTCATTTTCCAGAGGACCTGCTGAGGAAGGAGATACTGATTTTGTGGTTTAAATTGTTGTTCCTGGGCTAACTTGGGCTTTTTTAACGCACAGTGTAATTTTTTTCTGTTACTGGCTGTTCAATAATCACAGCTCAGGTGATACATGTTTGCCCTGTAGAGCTTGTTTTTGAAATAGGGCAGAAAGTTCAGAGATCACGTTATTCCCTAGAATACAGAGAAAATAAAACACACAGCCAGAACTGTAAAACATCTTAATGCATCTCCATTCTTACCGTAAATATTTTCTACAACAGACCCAACAATACCATTGCTCCTACACCTCTAGTTTGTGGATTATAATAAATATTATCTACTGCATCAAGTAACTTCTTGACAGCTCTGTAGATGTAAATGAACCATTGTTATTCTCCAAAATGAACTTGTACATAGTTTATCAGTAAGGGACAAAAACACATGGTTGCCAGTGAATTAATGTTTCTCCTGGAACATCCATCCTACCATCTCTGATCTTTCAGCCATGATTCTTGAGAGAAATCTACGAAATACCTTCTAAAGACAAGGTTTAGAGCTGAAATTCAGAATTCAGCTGCACAGGAAAAGCCAGAGCCTTGATAAGGGATATTGGATGGTAAATAGCCTGGCAGTTTCTGGATTTTCCTTGCAAAAGTATCTTAGGACACTCTCTAATAGTCCTTTTGCCAGTGTGTTTTACAAATATGTTTCTCTGAAGATGATAATCTTCATCTGGAAGAAAAGCCATATAAAGGGCAATTTTATCATCTGGATAAAATCTCTGTGTTTAAGTCCTCCTCTGGCCACAGATGACCCTGACACGCTTGGTATACTTCTAAGTATCTATACTCTACAGATATTTTAACAGATCCAATTTTAAGCCTTTTATTTAAGCAGACAATATATTTGAAATCACAGACAGAATAGCCAAAACTTTTGGTAATTGTTCTCTTTACAGAATCTCCCAAAGCTGTAACTATTTTCCTTTTATAGATTACTAGAAGAGTTACTAAACAAGTTCAAAAGCAGCATGCACTTGCAGCTGACCTGTTTTCAAGCTTCGTCATCAGCCATGATGAAAACATAGACAACACAATGCAGACAAATGTGCTTAAACGTCACTCTTTTTTTTCTGCACTACTTCGATTCCTTTGAAGACTCTGAAGAAAACAAAACCAGTTTCACTGAAAAATCAATTGAGATACAACTCTTTCAGTAATGGTATGGGGTGTCCCGCTGAGTGAAACTTTTGTTCATTTGTACTTCAATTAAATGGTTTTCTGTCTACTGTATTTCATTCTGTAGAGGGAATTAAGTTGGTTTTGTTTACATATATTTGTTCATGAAGAAATATTCATTGGTGTTCTGCAGTCTCAGTTTCATTTGTTAAAAATACCTTGAAATGTATTTTTAGCAAATGCCACCTTTAATTTGAGTATTACTCATGTTGTTCAGTGTATCAATCTGTTAATTTCTAGATGTAGACTAATACTGAAGTGACTGGAATGCTCAACTTCTATAAAGTGTTGAGAAGTATTTAATAAGCGTTGCCCCATAGAGCTGACTAATAACTGTCCAGATACCATATTAAGTACACTGCTTCTTTTGCATTTAAAAGGGTTCGCTTTTCTGTTTTTCTGTTATCATCTATGGTTTTTAGTGTTTGTAAGTCTGATTTCTTGGGGGACTTTTATTTTCTTGCTTCTTTGCTAGTTAAACATGTCACTGCCTCTCATGTTTGTTTCTCCCTTCTACTGAAATATTGATGATAACCTTCACATTTGAAGTAAGCTCTACTTTCCTTTGCAATTAACAGAAAAAGGCTCCGAGTCTATACAATTAGTAGAAAAAATGTTCAAGTAAAATATTCTTTGGTATTAAGGAGTAGAATAGTTAATAGCCTTTCACATAGTGAGGTGGATCATAAGATGTCATTTGTTTTGCTTCTTCCTTCTTACTCTTCTTGTTTTTTCTTGTTCTTACAGGCTTACTACCACTGTCTCTCTCCTGTTAGTCATTCCTCTTTTCTTCTTTTACCACCAGTTACCAAATTTGTATGGAGGAGAATAGGGATTCAGGAGAAAAGAATTTTTTTGCCATTGTTTTGGGGGGTAACAAGTAGGGTTAATTTTATAACTGAAATCATGGCTTGGAAGTAAATAATGCAGTAATAATATATTCTTTCAGTATTTACAGTCATTTTGAGTAAGATGTTTCAGAAGCAGTGCATAGTTTTCAAACGATTTTTTTAATGTCAGCTGTTTTCTTTTGTCAGTTCAATTGTTGCCACTTCAATTACATGCTTTAGAAATACAGCATACAGTTCCTGTAATATGAGATATTGGAGAAAGTTTGATGTACATGTAGTTACTCCTTAAAAAACCTTTGTAAGAGCATGTTGAATGGGAGTTAGAAGCTTCATTATATGTCATTATCATTTAGCACCTGGAGCAATGTTGTTTTGTTAAATGTTGTCCATTCTAAGCTGGTTATATAGTCTCAGTTGCTGGTATTAACTGAAATAGTCATCGAGTTAGCTCATTCTGTAAAAGATTTCACTTCAGAATAATAAAATATTAAGAAATACGGTCATAAGCTCTTCTTTAATTCCTCACTTACCAAGACAGGTGATGTCTTTGAAATTTGCCAGTCTACAATTTCTACATTCATATCAGACGTTCTAAATATTGAAAACATATTCTGTCATCTGTACTGAACTAACATATATTCAGGCATCTCTTCATGGTAATATCATTCTCTTACTCATCTTTTATGACAACAGCTTGTTCTTGTCTTTAAAACCTGAAATCAAACTTTTGTTCCATTGCCTCTCTGAAGTAACTTATTCTTCAGAACATCTCATTGACAGCAAACAAGAATAATGTGTAAGCGATCAAAATATTCTTTGAATTCCACCTGATATGAAATAAATGTTCACAGTCAAGTCAGAGCACCGTATTTCAATAAATTCACTTGGTGGATTAAGGAAGTCAATGAACATCATGCTGCAACAGGATGGAGTGGAATCCCTCTGTGTGGAAGGAGAGTTGGGACTGCTGAGACTTCGTAACCAGCAGGCTGCAGTTCCTCTGAAAAGAAGATTACAAAAATCATGAAGTGGTCAGTGTGGGTTTTGCAAAAAAAAAAAAAAAAAAAAAAAAAAAACCTGTTAAAAGGTACAATTAGGTTTAAAAAATGTTATCGAAAGTGGAAAAAGATGGGGAGACCACATGAAAATACAGTCAGTTACAGCTTGTAGAGAAGAGAGGCAGTAAGGAAATCAAAGTAACAGAAGTGAAAGGCTACGACATTTAAAGCAAGGTAAATGCTGAAAACAGTACAAGAGAAAATTAATTATTACATGACCTTTGAACCTCTAGAAAAATCTAAAATCAATACAAATTGGAAAAAATATTGTCATTAAAATAAAAACCTAGAGCTTTATTTCTCATAAAAAAGAAGAATTAAGGAAGTAGTAAGGCTGTGAAACATATCTTACTAAAAGCAGGTAAAGACTTATGGGAAAATTTAACAATAATATGCTGTGTTCAGATATTCAGCCACTGGAGATGTTGAGACGTTCTCCTATTACTGTATTTTGACATTTATTTTGAATAGTCATGAGTAGTTCAAGAGGTAGGCAAAGAGGAAATAAAAACCAAATGCTGCATCAATGTAATTGGGGAACAACACTGAAAAAATATTTAAATCCCCCAAGAAAGTGACAGGAAAAAATGGGGAAAAATCATTATTTATCTGTGCGTTAATGAAATATATCAACAATGAAACAATGAAGCATGAAGACATCCTGCTCCTTCTCACTCACAAAATGTTTTTTCAATTGATATTCTTTAGAAAATGTGTATGAAATGTACTCAGTGTCAAAGTTAATTGTGCTCATTGACACATTGACAAAGTTAATTGTGCTTTGACAGTGTGCTCATTGTCAAAGTTAAACACCTTCCTATAGCTTTTTAAAAGCCACTAGCAGGACTATGGTTCTTTTTATATTATTGAACTATGTTTCATACCTGTGATGAATTTCAAGGATAAGAACAGACACGAGATGACTTGAGGATCATCAAGCGAGTTGTATTCTGTGTGCTAATCCCCTTGCATCTTCCTCTAGTTGCATGAAAAGAACCAGGACTCTGACCAGTTTAGTTTCAGTGTATGGCAGCAGAGAGAAAAGTAAGAAATCCATGCTGGAGAGTTTTGCTTTGCAGGGGCACTTCTGACTGCACGATAATGTGTGACTGGTGCCATAGGTCCAGTCTCTCAACATTTGCCAAAGCTATTGCGTCTCCCTGAAGAGAGTATTTTATTGTGAAGGTGAGATTTATTTTTGTTTTCTACCCAGGCAGATTTTTGCCATCCAGAACAAAGGAAACACTTCTGAAGTAACAGCATGTTTCCCTGCTCTATTGGTAAGCAGTGAGATGCAGATAGAATAGGACCCTAAAAACTAGCTGTAATACTGTACAGAGCATGAGGCTGGAAAAAATAAAAAAGGTAAACATAATTATAGGTTATTCTGATTCTATTTTAGTTAAAAATATTCTTATATATGTTCAGAAAAAACAAAGAAACCAAGAATAAGAATTGATTGTTGATATAAAGGAAGGTGTAATGGCAAATAATGTTTAAAAAAAATAACAACAGAAGAATTTCATGGAGCTCTTTGACTGCTGAGCCTACTAAAAGACATGCAGAAAGTCCCTTACTTGCAAAAGTCTAACACTTAGCTGTGCAAAGCCCTCGGAAATGTATCATAAAGTTATTCACACATTCAACTCCTTTTTAAAATTGAATGTACCAAAATTCAACTCCTTCTTAACATTGAATGTACTGATAAGACATTCTCTGTTTCTAATCCAAGAGAAGGTAGAAGATAGCGGTTTCCTAGATACAATTTTTGTCTTGTGAAGAAGGAAACATCAAGAATCTTTTACCATGGTTACACACAATCTTAAGAGACAGTGCTACACACGGGATTTATGCTTTCAAACCTGCTGCCAGATCGTATTTAAGTCCACTCCAGCCAACATTGTTGGACATGTCCAGCTAAAATACTCTTGAAACACTGTGTTTTTCCTGAGGATATTAAGTAGTATGATATTGATTGTACCAGTGGATGCAAATACTGATCTTTGTGTCCAAGCAGGTGTCTGGACTCATAGCAATGAGGGGGTTTACATGTTCTACACACCATAAACGTAACTGCTATTTTGTTTTTTCATTCAATAATATCTATAAAAGTTAGAAGGAAAAGATCCTTAACCTTATCAGAACATGTTGAAACTGAAAATTGGATGCAGTGCTACTGCTGAAGCCAGAGATTCAGCATTCATATCTGGATCTTTAACACTGTCAAGCTTTGGCTCTCTGGATCAAGTTAATCAGGTGCATCTTATCTAGGGACAGAAAGAGGGACCCCTGAGGGTATATAGCATCTGCAATCTGTTTGTGGTTGTTAGGAATTGCATGGCACTTAAAATTTTAGCATCAGTCAGGAGTTACTAATAGAGTCTGAGTACTGTCAAAACAGGCAACAGCATATGCATTATTTAACTACTAAGACACAAATATGATTTGAATTAGTTAGATTCCAGTAGGCTGAAATATTTGGGAATTCGTTAAATTCGATGACAGACTTCAAATAGAACTTTGGCCTTTTGGCATTTCTGGTCTAGCCTTCTAACTGTAGGAGTTCTGGGTGATTACCCTCATCTGAAAATAAAAATAATTGTAACTTGTAAATTCATTTAAAAGATTTTTAGGAGAGAATCTGGTGTGTTTACAGTTCAAAGATGAAAAAATAAATAACAAAAAAATCCTGCTTGAACTTTATCCTTAGTTATATTCCAGCCTGTCTGTATAGTGATAAAGCAATGGTTCAGTTTACCTGCTATGTCCTCATTAGCAGTTCTATTCTTCTGTGTCAAATGTTAGTATGAAGTGTGCATACATTAGGTTGGTTGTAGTTAGGACTGCTTCTGCAGTGTTAACACAGGTCACTGTTTCTTTCAGCATTCTTAAAGCCATGAAAAAAGCTGGATGGTTAATTATAGGCAAAATTAATTTTGCACAAGCTGTGTTACGTGTTAAGGGTATTTTGGCTTCATGTGGTTGACAGCCTGTTTTCTGACTTTACATCACTTACTAGAGTTTTTTTGGCATGAAATCAAAGGGAAAACTGGGAGTAACAGGGAACACAGTTTTCATAAGGGAACACAACAACCATTTCTGTCTTCACCTTTTTAAAGTTCTGTTTTTATATAATGCTGACAAGGGTTAAAAAGGAGATTTGGGCAATTCAGCTCCATTTCTCTTGTGCTGTTTGAGCTACAGAGCTCTAAACGCTTGTCTTTAATAAAGGTATTAAGAGAGCATGTCCAAAATGGTTTATTTATTTCAGAACAAGGTGTTTATCATGTAAATTATATACTCCTTTCAGTATTACTGGACAACCTAAGGGGGCTTTCCTTCGGAGAGTCATCAATTAAATCTTGAAGTCCTTCAAAATAATGCATCTTGATGAGTAACTTAAATGACAGAGTTTGCAACATTTATCGCTGCATGGAACGGCAAAGGAAGTGCTGCTTTTGGAGTAGCAGCACTAACAGATCTGCTGTGGGAATTTGGGGGGATCAAATGGCAGGACTGAGGGGGCTTCTGTATTGCGCCTAATTACTTCTAGTCTGAACATCCAAGAAGACATCTGTGTTCCTTTTCTCTCATACCCTCACTATTTAAAGGTTTGTAGTAGGTTTTGTACAACTCCTGCAAGCAACCCTCCTTGAGACCAAGACCAAGTAAAGGAAGTTTTCAGCCAAATTCCTTTTGAATTGGAACATTTAAACAACTTGAGGGAAAAGGAGTAAGACAATGGAAAGTTGAATCCAGCCTTATTTGTAACAGATGCTATTAACACATGCTTAGTTTTATAAGCCTATTCTGGCACCCTTTTGCCTCTTTCTTCTGAAATAACTTTAATAGTAAAAGTTCATTGCCTGTCCCTAGCAAAAGCACACAAATAAAATGGGCTGATAGTCTCAATATAGCTCATGGAAAATGCATTAAATACAAGGTAAGTATTCAGAATTATCTTTTCCTTCATTCCTGAAATGGGTTTGGTGCTGCAGGTAGAGGAAAGGAGAACTTTGCTTTATGCTTCTGGGCCTTGATGACATCTGTGTGGTGAAATTACTGCAGTTCTGGTGTGACTGCAGATAACCAAGGGGCTTGGTGTAGACTAAACCTGAAGCCCAGTATACCTAGTTATTTCTAAATATACGTTGATATAGAAACAACCACAAGAGTCTTCATTTTGTTGGCAGGGGGTTTCATGCTGCAGTACTAATGCAGCAAAATTTTTGTGGCCACAGATTCTGCTTCAACCAAGTGGAGCACATGCCTCGCTTTTCTTGGTTCATAAGCAGATTTTTTAGCACAGAATGTCAAATCAGATAATTTATAAAGTAAAATTAGCAAAATGAGACAGTCTTTCTCACTGCTCATTACTCATTTTTTCTGATAAATTTCACTCATTTAACTAGATTGTACTTCTGCTCACAGAGGGGCTTCCCGTTCCAGCTTATCTTTTTAGATATTCAGTAGATAATTAAAATTCAAAATGTTAACAGTACTGCTTATTTTTAGAACCTGACATAAATATGGGTAGACATAGGTTTAAAAATAAATGAAGAGAGACTAGAGAGCTCTGAACCATTGGGGTTAAAAATGTTGGTAGACACCTGTTGTAACTCTCTTTACTACAGCATGTGCGGGAAAGGGAATCTCCATCACTGTCTCCTCAGACATCTCCATCCACCCATGCTGGGGAGCAGAAGGTGATACCTTGGTGCAGAAGGTGAGATGATTCTTTGTAATAATTGAAAATGCTACAAAGCTGAATAAAACAAACCCCAGCAAAATTTTCTGTCTCACAAGGATAAAATCTATTCTACATTTTGAAGTTTCTAAAATCAGCAGCACAACTGGGCTAGTTCTGGTACCATCTCTGAGGAAGACATTTCTCACAGGCACGTCTTACGTTTGTGCTGCTGCATTGCCCAGGTTGACCTTTGTGGACTATTATTTAAGTGTTGAGTCACATGGGAAAACTGATTTCTAGCTCCTGTAGTCAGTGACAGCTTTACAAACCCAAGTGGTTCATGGATTAGCTCATGAGCAAAATATACAGTTTTTCTTATGGTCCCTTATATGTGAATGTTGAATCACTTTATAAACGTTGGTAAACTCTGCTCCCTTGGAACCCTGTGTGCCCGCACAATACGTTCTCTGTGTATGTGGTTTTCTCTGCCTGAGAGTACTCATTACACACACGCATATGAATTCTGTAAATCCATACTTCGGTCCAGCCTTCTGAATGTAATTGGGGACCCATTTCATAGCACATCAGAACTTGTGTATGTACTTTTCCAGTACAAATCCCATCATTTTATACATCCAGCTTCTCAAGCAGATTTTTACATTTAGGATGGGATGTAGGCAAAAAGCAGCAGTTGAAGAGCAGCTGTGCCACATGGCATCTCCTTGCCTGTGCCTGCAGTTCCTCAACGTGGTGGACACATGCCTGGTTCCCATAGTGTTGGCGGGGGGAGGTGGGGCTGTGCCTTCCTGATGCTACCCATAGTTGAGTGCTGATGATGAGCTACAGGCTTCCACCTGAAACATAACTGCAGCCCTAGAGCTGAACAACTCTGGTGCCCTCCTACAAGCCAGGGTCTCCACATAGATGCCACAGTGTGGGTCTTCAAGACAAAACTGTGGGTAGAGTATATATGCAGGAAGAAGACCTCTAGTTTTGTGTCCTCTCTTGCCTTTCGCAGCTGTATCATAGCTTCTCTGCTGTAAGTTGTGCTACGGAGGGAGTCACGATTCCCATGGTTTAAGCTGTGCAGGAAGGAATTGGTGGGCAAGAAGCTCCAGCAGTGTGCACTTGCAGACCAGAAAGCCAGCTGCATCTTGGGCTTCATCGAAAGCAGCATGGCCAGCAGGCTGAGGGAGATGATTCTACCCCTCTGCTGTGCTCTCATGTGACCCCACCTAGAGTACTGTGTCCAGCTCTGGAGTCCACAACATACGAAATGTTGGAGCAAATTCAGAGGAGGGCCACAAGGATGATCAGAGGGCTCCTCTGAGAGCACCTCTCCTTTGAAGACAGAGTGAGAGTTGGGGTTGTTCAGCCTGGAGAAGAAAAGACTCCAGGAAGATCCTATAGCACCTTCCAGCACCTACAGGGCGCCTGCTAGAGAGCTGGAGAGGGACTTTTTACCAAGGGCGTGTATTGACAGGACAAGGGGAAATGGCTCTAAACTAAAAGAAGGTAGGTTTAGATGAGATATTGGGAAGAAATTCTTTACTGTGAGGGTGGTGAGACACTGAAACAGGTTGCCCAGAAAGGTTTTAGATGTTTCATTCCTGGAAGTGTTCAAGGCCAGGTTGGATGGGGCTTTGACCAATCTGGTCTAGTGGAAGGTGTCCCTGCCCATGGCATGCGGGTTGGAACTCGATGATCTTTAAGGTCCAAACCATTCTATGATTTTATGAATGAGTCTATGAATTTAAGATTTCTTTGATCAGAATAAAGGAGCAGAGTGGTGTTTCATTGCCTAAAGTGAGAACTGAGGACAGGTAAAGACTGACATTTCAGTTTTGTAGACTGATGAAATGTTGTGGCTAAGGACTGTTTAAAGACAAGCTTGTGTCTTCTTGTGACTTCTCCTAACAACTCGTGTAGATACTTCTTCATGCAGCTTATATGCTTTTGAGACACCTTGCTAAGGTGCTTTTCTGACAATGTTCAGAATGGATTCTGCTGCAGGACTGAGGCATTGCAAAGCTGGAAACAACACTTCAACTCATGGCTCTGAGTAGTGTGAGACTGCTGTATCACCACCCTGGCCCAACTTTCCACCTTTGCCTCGAATTGATCATCAGTTGCATCAAATCACTGAGCAAATGGTTATGAAACACGAGCTGGCACAAGGAAGAGGGTAAGGCCAAGGAACATGTGGTCTAGGGCTGGATGGGTCAAGAGGAGCCCTGCTTGTGGTGAGACAAAGTGCCCAAGGCTCCCCTCCTGACATGAGATCAGCCTTGGTGCCTCCCTTATGATCATATGCATTAATGCAAGAGCAGAGACATGAACCTGAAAATCTTTCTTGAGCAAAGTCATGGTATGTCTGGTGGGCTCATACATGGCAAACCATGCTTGATATTACAGTGAAGGCAGCATTGCTCTCACTCAACTGCCACACTCACATGCAATCCATGAGCCTACTGCAAACTCAATTTACAAATCAAGCATAGCTTCTAGTAGCACTCTGAGCCTTTGATCTCTGATTCCTAATGCATTTTGCAGGAACGAGCACCAGAACTTGTGAAAACCAACAGACACTGCCCATCAGCTTTGACAGTCCCAAAATCATATGCCTGGCATTAGCTATAGCAGAGTTGTCCCATCAGGTATGCCACTATCTCCCCAGGAGACGCAGAGCAAGAATGTGGCTCACCCCCAGCAGCCAGTGAGTCAGTGCCCGTGGCAGGGTTGGAAGTGAGATACTCAAAGCCCTGGGCCTCTGCTCTACCCAGCAGACCGCACCCTCCAAGGTTTCCTGCCTGTGGTGAATTGTGTCAAGTTTTATCTGCAAGACAGGTTTAAAAGGAAAAAAAGAAAGAAAGAAAAAAAAAAAGCCCCCAAAAACAAGCAAACAAACAAACAAACAAAAAAGACCAACCCAGTACTCATGAATGAAAAACTACCCAGTCTGCAAAAGCTTTCTCAGCCTTTTGAGGAGCAGCATGTCACTTAAATAACCAAAGAAATACTGTGGGTTTCCTCTATGTCTTATGACCTTAAGTTTGACTAGCTAGCTTTTACCAATGATAGCGAGTGATAAACACAGACAAAAAGAGTTCCGCCTTTCTGGGGAGCCTTTTTATCAGGTTGACCACTTCGGGTTGAACAACTCACAGATTTTGGTCTAAGCTTGACAGCTCCATTGTGCTACAGAAATGAGGGGCTGGTCAAACACACACACCCTGCCCCCCATATTTGCCTGTATTTAAGAAAAGCAAAACTAATACAGTACTAGGGCTGTAATAATCAGTCTTGTACATGGTATGGTCACTGTGACTGACCACATGGTGGTAAACACTCATCTATAAATAGATGTTTGAGGCTTGCTGGGAGGTGTTATCAGTATTCATAATACCACATTCTTTTTAACAGAGTGCTTTTCCCATCAGACGGGTCCAAGATGAAGTGTATTTGCAAGATCAGTCTGGTTGCTTTACCAATGTTGTTCTTTTTTTTTTTCTTTCAACTTATACAAATATGAGTGAATCTCACTAAATGACTCCCCTTTGAAAG